TGTAACATAGTTGTAGATAGTTGTAGATATGTAACATAGTTGTAGATAGTTGTAGATATGTAACATAGTTGTAGACAGTTGTAGATGTGTAACATTTTTGTACAAATGTATACGGTACATGTCGATCCTAAGTTACAAGGAGAAAACATAATGTTTGGTATTTCCGTTGGTGGTATTGATACAATGTTAATGACATGTAAGTCTACACTAGACTGTGTTATAAGGATTCTCAAGATTTTCATGTTTTTTAAGAACCAATTTAATCTATAATCATAATCGGTGTTATGTGTCGTCAATATATCTAAAGCAGTACCGGTACATGTGATTTTTAGAATTACCATAAGTGTTCTGTCATTCCTTGAAAGGAGACAGTTCATGATATGACATTTTTCGTAAATATTCATTCAGTGTTCCTTTTCAAATTAACATTACCAGCCAATGCACTAAGTTGATTATTACATTACCTTTTAGTCGAATAGTGGAATGGTTCAGAATATACACATGTACTTGACGTTGTTCTAAACTTACTTGATGTAGAAATTATGAAATTTACTGAATTATGTGGCTAGTGCACATTATCGTCTAGATTTTTACTTTTCTTATCAACAATTTTTCCTCAAATGTTTGAAAATTGAGGCCCTTAGCATCACTAGCGAGTCCTAGAAGGACGAAACAGCTGTTTGAGGTAACATCACTAACGAGTCCTAGAAGGACGAAACAGCTGTTTGAGGTAACATCACTAACGAGTCCTAGAAGGACGAAACAGCTGTTTGAGGTAACATCACTAACGAGTCCTAGAAGGACGAAACAGCTGTCTGATGTAGCATCATTAACGAGTCCTAGAAGGACGAAACAGCTGTTTGATGTAACATCACTAACGAGTCTTAGAAGGACGAAACAGCTGTTTGATGTAGCATCACTAACGAGTCCTAGAAGGACGGAACAGCTATATGATGCAATCTAATCCAATGTTTGGCTCTACTTTATCTAAACCTAAATGTGTATTTAAAATGTGCTATTAACTCTTTTTGTTGTCTTATGTACGGTCTTCCACTCTCCCTCGTAATTCTATTAACAGTTTAATCTGTAGGTTTTCGTCATCTGTCACAGAAACACGGTGTTAACAAAACACCTTGACATATCGAATCCCCTTAGCTTTGGTGGCACCATCAGATGTGTCAAGTAGCTACGAAAACTTCCATTATATAAATCATCAAAGTCGGGCTTATAACGAATAACAACAATACAACCTATACATAAAGTCATGGAACCGTTTTTCAGAAATCGCTGCTGTTGTGATTTCATCAATCAAACAGCATACGAAAAACATTGATCAAATCAAACATACATGTACATACATGTACATTGTAGAAAAAAAATACCACTGTACCTCACAAGATATTGATAACATACATTTATCATTGATTACGTTTAAAGCAATTTACTAAATTTCAGTGTAAAGTTGTTGTTGTGTAGGCTGACACTGAAATTGATCATGATTGACTCAGAAGCATACCAAAATGAAACTTTCGTGTCTCTGAAATGTTCTTTGTGTCATAAGAACGTACAATGTCAGACCGATCTGTGATAGATACGAGAAATTATCTAGGTTTTTTTTGGACTTTTCTCAATGACGACATGTCCGGAGTAGAAGAGTGTGACCTATTACAGGATACACGTGTTGTACGTGGGCTGAAAATATTAGATTATTCAGAAAAGAAAAAAAAATCTTAATACATCAGGTACATAACACATCGATAAAAATGTACTCGACCTGTGCTTATTAAGACTTCAACAATTAAATAGTAATTTAATATTCCATTCCCCAGCAGCTTATCAAATATTTTGTGTAATAATCTTACAACTGTCCTTTGTGTTTATCTGATGCACAGCCTCATCATCAGCTAGTTTGTTTCTCATTTCATCAGTGCGATAAATTCTGTGTTTCAAGTATAGAAAAATGAAATAAGTCAGGAACCTAAATCCGTTGTATATAACATTCATCTTTCTTCTGAATATATCTTATTGTTATATACATGTTATATATCTTATTGTATATCTAATAAGAACGTGGCATTACTTACCTGGATTGATCAAGGTTGCCATGGCGAGTGACATCGATGAAGCAGAAGACGCTTACTCTTTTGGAACACATGATTTTACTCTCTTTGTACTTTTTTTTATATTTCTTTGTTCGTATTTTGTCCTAGTTTTATTGGATTTTAGTTTTAGTTATGATTGTGTTGACATATTGGTGCGTGTATATTCTTGTTTTTTGTTTTGTTTGTTTTTGTTTTGAAAGTCCGGTGTGAAAGGTTACTGATAACACAGTTAGTGAATTCAATGTATCATATTATGAATTGTTGGCTTTAGTGATTTGGAAGCATCCAGCACTATTCTAGAATACACGCAGGAGCAAAGTCATGTTTTCTAAATGAATTACTTCGCGTTTATTCAAATATTACAAATAGCACATTTTGTGTTAATGTTTAATTTACGTTATATATAAAGTCATTCTTAATCTTAAACGATGTATTTGTGAAGTGTAAATTATCACATATTGTGTGAATTTTAAATTTACATTGTGTCAATTGTCATTTTAAATGGTAAATTTTGTGAAATACAAATTACCCTTTATTAAGTGAATTTTAATATACAACTTAAGGTTTGGCGTTCTCTAAAATCACATCGATGGTACACTCGCAAAAATTTATCAAAATGTTTTGTTATATTAATTACACACGGTAAAAACACAGCTGTTAAATTGTGTAAAGAGTAATTTTGTAAATTAAAACGAAAAGAAAAAGCTTGAAGACAGTAACGTGATTAAAAAAGATCGATAAATACCAAACGCTTTAAACGATAAAGACGATGTTTTTGTGAACATTTAAAGTTTGTACTAAGTTGTTAAGATTAACACTGAATATTAGTTATTACGTTTGAAACTGAATTAAGACATCGGTGCCCTTTAATCATGCAGAAAAAAAAAACACGAGGAAATATGAAATACAACATCATCATTATACAAGGAAGAACTGTATTTGTTTCTAAACCATGGCTGTGAATACGAAAACTCTGATAAGACGGTTCAATGTGATAACATTACGGCATGTTTCGTAATATTTCCCTTTGATTTCTAAGTGCTCAAATCTTTTGCAATATAATCGGTCTTTTAGTTTCCTGTTGCAGTAAAATCCATTGAGAAGGGAGGTTATATGGCTATTGTAAATTCATATTCTTGTTTTGTCGACACTTAGAAAATTTTGGGACAATAGTTCATAGCATTTATCTCACGTGCATTTCAGTATCACTTCTGGGTGTCTGAATGTCTACCTCGTGTTTTATCGTATGAAACCTATCTAATATGCATTCAATATTCTTATTGCAACATCAGAAATTTATTTGTCATGTCTCGGCCAAAAAATTATGAAATTTATCTCAATTTCATTCAATGTCACTTTCATGAGGTCAGAACTTTTTATCGTACTTTTGCCAATGCAACACAAATATGGATTTGTCACTTTGATAACCTTTAAAGGCATTTTATATCTTCTGTGGTCATTTAGTCTGATCGGCTACTAATTACAGGCATTTATTTAGATATATGTTAACCTATGTCTAAATATAAATTATAAAATTGACATCCAATTTACGTCGGATTAATCTCAATTTTCAGTTCATGAATATCACTGAAATGGACAAAGAGATAACTATATACTGTTTCTGTGGTCATTTTTAAGAATTCAGTTGTAATACAATGCTATACATATTTAATAAGCCGGTAAATATTGTTTTGCATATTTGATAAAAAAGTAGCTTTCTCGACCAATAAAATCGTAAGGCGGGGCCTAAAAGAGTAGGGGATTTCCGACGGTTTTCCGGTTACATGCGGATAAAAGGCGACACTGTTGTGTAAACATTTTACTTTGTATCTTCGCCTCTCTGCATATTGAGACCTCATACACACAGGTAAGCCGCACTGTCTCACTTGTTAACAGAATGCATGTAGCTGTAATACGCTTGATAGTTATAGCAACGTGCTTGTTGGAGATATTTTAACGTATAACACACTTACATCATTAACCATTGCGTCAGGATGTCAAGGAATTTGAATTTCATTTTTATGTTAATCAATTTGTCTATGTTTAGAGTTGTTAACGTGAACACTAACCAGTAGGAAATTTTTAATTTTTAAAAGATTAATTTTTATCTGTTTATTATTTTTTTATATATATTTTATATTTTTCTACCTAAATAAAATGAAGTTCCGAAGCATGCTTTAGTCAATGAACGGCATCAACGTCAGGAACGGTTGATGCGGGATTCTGTAGTGAGAGTATGAAGACCATGTAAACACACATCATAACAACTCGGTAGTTTTAATAATAAATCATATTCAATTTATTTAACGTGGGAATTTAACGACAGCGTGGATGGAGTCTCTTACAGTGAAAGTGTCATGAAAATAGGATTAATAAATTACCCTAAACTTAGTGTACCGAATACGCCTGCTTGTTTTGTCGAAATATTACAGCTATGTAGCTTGATGGATGTATTGTAAACGATCAGGTGCATTATACTGAATGACGGCAGCAAACTTTCACAACTTCTATCTATAGTTCATGTTTTATTTATCTTTTCTTGGTATAAGGGGATTTCTTGTTTTCTTGATTGATGCGCGTGTATGTAGTTATATTGTACATTAAACGTGTCAAGGTCATCTATTTTGTCATGTACCGTTGTACACCAGCAAGGCTAGGAGTCGTAATGGGGAGGGGGGGAGCAATGATACAAGGACAATTTGCTACTTTAATGATAGTAAACTACCATGTAATGATAACCTATGTAATATTTGATTGAAAAAAAGATACTTCATGTCTTTATCATTTCCCAAATTATTTTGAAAAAATTCCAACCATTATTATCAACATAAAGAAAACAATCTGAAACCTTTATCGATATCCGGAGATCAGAATTATCAGTATTGTGGTATTTTACAGGTGCAGCTGCCGAGTTGAGCGATGGACGGAGGTTCAATGATTAATTACCAAGTCTGTTATGAGGTATGTTTTCTCGCCATTAATCTGAGTACAATTGAAAAAAAACGATGTTTCTATCTTAACTTCAGCATTTGTATAGTCAGTCAGTACTACCATGTAGAAACTATAAAGGTATGTCATTCTCCATAAGTCACGTGTCCTTCTACCGTTGTATGAGATGACACGTGTCTCACGGGAATGACGTTGTCGAGCAGCTGATTGATAACTACAAGAAACGAAAACAAAAAATGATAATATATGATTTTAACTGGAATACAAAGTGTTTATTTACATACATATAACAATTCAAGACAAGAAACGAGAAATGAGAGCGAAAAATGAGAACGGAAAATATCTTATCAAAATCATTTCAATTATTGACTGATGGTCAAACAACATACAAAAAAACCCCCCATTAATAAGACAATCAGTGACATAGCAATTCATTTATAAAAGAAAAAAAAACCATATATGCATATTTAGATAGTCAGTATCTTATTCTCGAACTCATCAGTCAAATATAACATTATAAAACTGGTGTTTTATATACACAGAATCAAATAAATCAGACGAGTTGTGACATCTCGTACGATGTAAACAAACACACCGGGTATAACATCTGTACAGACTCCCCTACTGACTGGTCATCGCTGAGGGAATTCGAGAACAACGCCGGTAAGTCGGGTATGGCTTTACGGGTGATTTAAAATTGTAGCAGTCCTGACATCAACATGGCATCTTAAGATCCGGTTCAGGAATCTAAATCTGACTTGATATACATGTGTCTCTGACGAATGATTATCTATGACACAATTAAGTAAATGTTTAGACTTTTATTCATTGTTGATGAACATAAGTGATAATTTTGATTGGAAAATGGATCAACATGACTTTTGCATAATTAGATTTCTTTGGTAGATGTAAAAATGTCATACTTGAATTCGCTAAAAAAAACACTGATCCACGTAACTACACTCAAATTCAGTTATAATATTAATGATATCTCGTGCATACTTGTCCACAAGCTTGTCACTATCGCTTACATTCGGGAATTTCTTCCTCATGTTTTCACAGATTTGCAGATTCACTCCCCCGACTCGCTGCCCGATCCTGCCATTCATGACTTCATCAATCTTCTTTTACCCACTTATATTGGTGAGTATAATGCCGTAGATAATTGACTGATCACGTGATACAGAATACTCCAACAATGCTGACAAAGATTAGATTTTTTTTTCATTTACAATAATATCATTCAATCTAGATTTCACTTTAAAGATAAATTAGAAAGCTGATTACCACAGAGACAGTTTCGGCCATATTCTTCCTTGTTTGTCAAAAAAACTTTAATACCGTTTCTCGGTATTTATATTACAACCCTTTTACTGTTTCAAACGTCAAGTGTGAGCTGTTTATTTTCAGATAACGATTTCAGAAATAAGACGGCCCAGTCTAATTCTTTAACACCGGATTCTGAGTCGGACAATGATAGTGGTAAGCAAACAATACCTCAGTGTAAACAGAACAGGACCTGGAATCTTAGAAATAACTTTAACGAAATACCTCAATACATTGCATAAATTCTCTTGGAGTGATGTTACTGACGTGCAAATCAATGCCAGATATATTTGACATCATACATGCTTGGAGAATCTCTGTTTAAGCATGCGCATCTCATGTCCTGTACAGTTACTTCCGTTATACGTAATTGATTAATATTTGTAAATATAAAGTAACACTTTGTTTGCAGTAATGATAAGCGGAGATGATCTGAGGGAGTTAGCGTGTGTAAAACCAGACGACTATTTTGACAATATAAGTGACTCTAGTGTTGGGAGTGGCCATTTTGATTATCTGCCTCCAACTAACCTGTCATCTGCCTATCATCAATACAACAACCAAACTCTGCCAAGTTTCGATCAGCTTGTTCAGTCTACAGCCAAACACTACCCGTCTACAACAAGGCAGTGTGTGTCAGATGATGAAGATGACGAATCTGAGGCAATCGTCAAAAAGGGAAAACGAGGTAAGTTATGTATTACAGGATACTATAAAGATTGTAATATCTCAATAAAACGAGGTAAGTTATGTATTACAGGATACTATAAAGATTGTAATATCTCAATAAAACGAGGTAAGTTATGTATTACAGGATACTATAAAGATTGTTATATCTAAATAAAACGTGGTTATGTATTACAGGATACTATAAAGATTGTTATATCTCAATAAAACGAGGTAAGTTATGTATTACAGGATACTATAAAGATTGTTATATCTCAATAAAACGAGGTAAGTTATGTATTACAGGATACTATAAAGATTGTTATATCTTTATAAAACGAGGTAAGTTATGAATGACAGGATACTATAAAGATTGTAATATTTCTAAATAAAACGAGGTAAGTTATGAGATGACAGTACAGGATACTATAAAGATTGTTATATCTAAATAAAACGAGGTAAGTTATGAATGACAGGATACTATAAAGATTGTAATATTTCAATAAAACGAGGTAAGTTATGTATTACAGGATACTATAAAGATTGTTATATCTAAATAAAACGAGGTAAGTTATGAATGACAGGATACTATAAAGATTGTAATATTTCAATAAAACGAGGTAAGTTATGTATTACAGGATACTATAGTATAAAACATATTTGTATCTATCATTTTGTGTTTTGTTTTGTAGGTGCTAAAAACATATTGTTATGGAAGTTCCTTCTGGACGAGCTGGCAGATGCTCACCAGAAGCATATCCGGTGGATAAGCTGTAAGGAGGGCACGTTCAGATTTGTTGACACAGCAGAAATAAGCAAGATGTGGGGAGCTAAAAAGCGAAAGAATGACATGAACTTTGAAAAACTCAGTCGTGGAATCAGGTAAACAGAATATTTATTTGAAGGATATTTTGAGTATAGTATAGATGTCTTTGCTAGTTTATGTATTATTTTGAAGTGGAAATGTCATGGCATTCAGATAAAACCATTGCTCTATATATTTTGATTCTAAGATGACTAAATTATTTGAATGTTAACGCCCATTAAACTGACCTTTTTCTGTACGCCAGTGAGTTTTTCTCAAGCATTACTCTATGTTGTTGCATTAGGCACTACTACAAATCTGGGTTCATGAGACGTGAGGACGGAACTAGACTGGTATACAAGTTTAACTGGAAGAAGGTTCCCAAAGAATACAGACGGCGATTTGCTCTTTAGACAATATCTCTACTCTCAAAATTGGAGAGTTGCAAACACCTGCTTACTTCGCAATAGCGTCAGATGACCACGTGAATATGCGAAATCAAACATACGTTTTCTCCTTCCGTCGTGATGACTTGATTTCTGCAGCGAAGGTCTGGCAAAATTTGAGGTGATTCTGATCAGTTGTCAATCGACTAGTACATGAATGAAGAATGCTTAAGTTGATCAAGAGAATCTGCAAAAAAATGACTGTTTCATGATGATTTTGTGCAATATATGTTTAATTTGCAATTGCTTTGTAAGATAGATGTGCTAGCGCTAACAACGATGAAGTGACATTTTGCTGGGATAATGCAATATTCTGTCCGAAAACCTGAAGTGTTGATAATAGGCAATTGTGCTGAAAACACCTTGACAGTCGTGTTTAAATAAGAAGAGCTGTGTGCAGAATCAGATAGAGAGCAAAAGGCAGGAATTCCTCGTGATACTTGTTGATAGTTCATCATGTATCAGAATCATTGCCAAGAAACCATGTCTATGTCTGTTGAAGGGATGGTCTTGGGTTTGGTTTTATAAAACAGTTCGAAATATCGCTGTTTTTGTCTGAAAAGTATATTGCAACTGTCTCAATGTGTCGATGTTTGGTCTCGAAAGTTCCAGATTTCTGTGTACCGTAATCCAAATGTTCCTGACTACAAAGGTTCAATATTAGATCAAGCCCTGTCACTGCCATAAGATATCAATATTGATTTAACTGCGGTATTGTTTGATCTCAAAGTCTGATGAGTGATTGAAGTCTATATGCGCTTAAAATACTAGTGGAGAATGAATGAGATTGATGTAACATACGAGTGTTTTATCTGAGTGAGACATGAGAGTAAACACGTACATGAGAAAAAGATAATGTAAGTGTTTTAAGCGATTATTGTTTTTAACTGAAAATAAATTGAAATCCAAACGCGACCAATAAACAATCCTACATATCGTATACATGTATATATTTTAGAAATATATATTTCATATGTTTAACAATAATGTATATAACTTGTTTGTTAATATAACTTTATGAAGATACTTTTGTAAATTAATATTAAATACAATTATTTTGTGTTGACTTTTTTGTTTCTTTGTTTTTTCCTACTTTAGTCCAGCCGATCTCATTAACTGATAGTTTGATGTTGGTAATGTCACCCTTTTTGATATTATCATTATAAATTTTACAGAAGATTAAATTCCTGTTTTTGCAGTTAATTTGATGGCCCTGTTATATTTGTATTACAACAGTGATCACTGATTGCTATCTAGCAACGAATGTCTCCTGTTTAAATATTTTTATATAACTTTCCCTACATCTTATATCTTCCGTTTTGTTAAAAAAAACAACTCTTTTTTTTTGCTGTTGTTGGTTATCATTTTTCATTTGATGTGTCATGTTTTATCTTGTTCCTAAATACGAGTTATTGAAGTGACCTCACAGATACATTTTTACAGTGCAGTTTTGTATGTAACAGTATACCGATATAAATTGAGCGTGGATCATAGTACATCTATTTAATCCCGGATGTATATTTTTATTACAAACACGAATGTCTAAACCATGGTTAGGTTGGAAGTTAGAAAGGTCTTTTGACTGTATATCATGTTTTAAAGCATGGTTAGGTTGGAAGTTAGAAAGGTCTATTGACTGTTTATCATGAGATGTAGTTTTATAACAACGGTATTTGTGTTTATAATTTGTAGTCGTGTCTATTTCATTCTTTGGATTTGTATCTAATATCCAACAATGTCCGATAGCAGTATTATAGCTTATACAAGCAGAGTTTTTTTTTTCGCTAGGTGTTGTAAGTTGTCTTCCGAAGGTTTCAATTACACGTAATCATATCTGCACAGTTAGTCTCCATGCTGATCGAGCTGACTTACCTGAACATATTTAGTTAAGCAGGTGTTTATACCGAGAGTGGATTTCCCTCAAAACTATATATAGCCAATATAATGATGAAATGGTGTTTCCTGAAATGAAACAAACATGGATGCGTCACTTTGGTCATTAAGAAGTTATCGGAAAATCCCGCTTATCAGTAAGTGTGGGCGAGCCGATACACGTTTAAGGACGAGAATGTTCTTTCACATTCACAGGTGGTTGCACAAGAAAGGTTTATGCAAATTATTCTTAAGATATTGCCGTCTTTGACGTATAAATGTTAGCACCACAAAAAAAAAAAAAAAAAAACAAGATATCTGTAGTTTTTGACATGTTCATGGAAAGGACATGCATTTTAAACATTTACAAGGCAACATTATAAAGATTAAATCTTAAAGATCTGTACTTAACCTGTAAACGGTATCGGTTTTATCAACTATGATGTTATCATATACAATTTTCACACAATTTCATATTTAAAAGTCAAATTAAGTGATATGGAAGTACCACAATTCGTGTTATAAATACCATCTTCTGGTTCTATAGTTAACTCCCTACCAATACAACAATAATAAATATATATAAATCGAAAGTTAAAATCATAAATTTATGTCACACGGCATTGGAGTACCATGCATTGTTAGGAGAGAGATATATATAGACCTTAATTCGGAGGCATTCATTATACGACAATTAAAGTGTGTATATAATGACCATATATAGGTGTCCCAGATATACAAGAACGAATCTATTTCAATATCCATGTGTTCTAAAATTAAGTACACAGAATTCCATGATTCATGTGGTAACATATAGAATATTTCACAGAACTACTTGTTCACAAAGCAGCTACCCGTGAACAACTTGTTATATTTAAATAGTTGATACATTAAATTATCCGGTGTATGTTGACGTATCAGTGGAAGTCATACTTGTACAAACAGCTCAGTAAATATAATTAGAATTTACCGTATCCTGTTACCGAATAAAATAACCAAAACAAAAAAAGAAACTGAAACACTTGTTTAAGAAAAATCAGTTTTTCTAATTCTGCAAATGAAACATTGGTTAAAATAGTCTTCGTCTTACTTTTTTAACTGATGTACAACTAAACACAATCAAGGTCTAACATTGTGACCGGCGTTGTTAACAATTACTAATCTGGTTATCATTTCTAGACAGCTGTGGTTATCTCTAGCGTGGTATAGTTAACTATGGCTTACAGGATGATTATCACTAGCGTGAGATAGTTAACTATGGCTAACAGAAGGATTATCTCTGGCGTGAGATAGTTAACTGTGGCTAACTGAAGGATTATCTCTGGCGGGAGATAGTTAACTGTGGCTAACAGAAGGATTATCTCTAGCGTGGTATAGTTAACTGACTAACTGGATGATTATATCGTGCGTGTTATAGTTAACTGTGGCTAACAGAAGGATTATCTCTGGCGAGAGATAGTTAACTGTGGCTAACAGAAGGATTATTTCTAGCGTGGTATAGTTATCTGTGGCTAACAGGATGATTATCTGTGGCGTGAGATAGTTAACTGTGGCTAGCAGAAGGATTATCTCTGGCGTGAGATAGTTAACTGTGGCTAACAGAAGGATTATCTCTGGCGAGAGATAGTTAACTGTGGCTAACAGAAGGATTATCTCTGGCGAGAGATAGTTAAATGTGGCTTACAGGATGATTATCTGTGGCGTGAGATAGTTTACTGTGGCTAACAGAAGGATTATCTCTGGCGTGAGATAATTAACTGTGGCTAACAGAAGGATTATCTCTGGCGTGAGATAGTTAACTGTGGCTAACAGGATGATTATCTGTGGCGCGAGATAGTTAACTGTGGCTAACAGAAGGATTATCTCTGGCGAGAGATAGTTAACTGTGGCTAACAGAAGGATTATCTCTGGCGAGAGATAGTTAACTGTGGCTAACAGAAGGATTATCTCTGGCGAGAGATAGTTAAATGTGGCTTACAGGATGATTATCTCTGGCGTGAGATAGTTTACTGTGGCTAACAGAAGGATTATCTCTGGCGTGAGATAGTTAACTGTGGCTAACAGAAGGATTATCTCTGGCGAGAGATAGTTAACTGTGGCTAACAGAAGGATTATCTCTGGCGAGAGATAGTTAAATGTGGCTTACAGGATGATTATCTCTGGCGGGAGATAGTTAACTGTGGCTAACAGGATGATTATCTGTGGCGCGAGATAGTTAACTGTGGCTAACAGAAGGATTATCTCTGGCGAGAGATAGTTAAATGTGGCTAACAGAAGGATTATCTCTGGCGTGAGATAGTTAACTGTGGCTAACAGAAGGATTATCTCTGGCGGGAGATAGTTAACTGTGGCTAACAGAAGGATTATCTCTGGCGTGGTATAGTTAACTGTGGCTAACAGAAGGATTATCTCTGGCGTGAGATAGTTAACTGTGGCTAACAGAAGGATTATCTCTGGCGTGAGATAGTTAACTGTGGCTAACAGAAGGATTATCTCTGGCGTGAGATAGTTAACTGTGGCTAACAGGATGATTATCTGTGGCGCGAGATAGTTAACTGTGGCTAACAGAAGGATTATCTCTGGCGAGAGATAGTTAACTGTGGCTAACAGAAGGATTATCTCTGGCGAGAGATAGTTAACTGTGGCTAACAGAAGGATTATCTCTGGCGAGAGATAGTTAACTGTGGCTAACAGAAGGATTATCTCTGGCGAGAGATAGTTAAATGTGGCTTACAGGATGATTATCTCTGGCGTGAGATAGTTAACTGTGGCTAACAGAAGGATTATCTCTGGCGAGAGATAGTTAACTGTGGCTAACAGAAGGATTATCTCTGGCGAGAGATAGTTAAATGTGGCTTACAGGATGATTATCTCTGGCGTGAGATAGTTTACTGTGGCTAACAGAAGGATTATCTCTGGCGTGAGATAGTTAACTGTGGCTAACAGAAGGATTATCTCTGGCGAGAGATAGTTAACTGTGGCTAACAGAAGGATTATCTCTGGCGAGAGATAGTTAAATGTGGCTTACAGGATGATTATCTCTGGCGGGAGATAGTTAACTGTGGCTAACAGGATGATTATCTGTGGCGCGAGATAGTTAACTGTGGCTAACAGAAAGATTATCTCTGGCGAGAGATAGTTAAATGTGGCTTAGAGGATGATTATCTCTGGCGTGAGATAGTTAACTGTGGCTAACAGAAGGATTATCTCTGGCGTGGTATAGTTAACTGTGGCTAACAGAAGGATTATCTCTGGCGTGGTATAGTTAACTGTGGCTAACAGAAGGATTATCTCTGGCGTGAGATAGTTAACTGTGGCTAACAGAAGGATTATCTCTGGCGTGAGATAGTTAACTGTGGATAACAGAAGGATTATCTCTGGCGTGAGATAGTTAACTGTGGCTAACAGGATGATTATCTGTGGCGCGAGATAGTTAACTGTGGCTAACAGAAGGATTATCTCTGGCGAGAGATAGTTAACTGTGGCTAACAGAAGGATTATCTCTGGCGAGAGATAGTTAACTGTGGCTAACAGAAGGATTATCTCTGGCGAGAGATAGTTAACTGTGGCTAACAGAAGGATTATCTCTGGCGAGAGATAGTTAAATGTGGCTTACAGGATGATTATCTCTGGCGTGAGATAGTTAACTGTGGCTAACAGAAGGATTATCTCTGGCGTGAGATAGTTAACTGTGGCTAACAGAAGGATTATCTCTAGCGTGGTATAGTTAACTGTGGCTTACAGGATGATGATCTCCAGCGTGGTATAGTTAACTGTGGCTAACAAGGATTATCTCTGGCGTGAGATAGTTAACTGTGGCTAACAGAAGGATTATCTCTGGCGAGAGATAGTTAACTGTGGCTAACAGAAGGATTATCTCTGGCGAGAGATAGTTAAATGTGGCTTACAGGATGATTATCTCTGGCGTGAGATAGTTAACTGTGGCTAACAGAAGGATTATCTTTGGCGTGAGATAGTTAACTGTGGCTAACAGAAGGATTATCTCTAGCGTGGTATAGTTAACTGTGGCTAACAGGATGATGATCTCCAGCGTGGTATAGTTAACTGTGGCTAACAAGGATTATCTCTGGCGAGAGATAGTTAACTGTGGCTAACAGAAGGATTATCTCTGGCGAGAGATAG